AAAAGGAATATCATTAGACCTCAGATATTTCCAAAGAACAAAAACATTAACTTATCAACACTGGTGAACCTTCTTTGACTGAAATAATGCACTGGGGACGTTTTCACTCGCATAAATGTACCAATTCATTTGAAACCTAACCCTTGTGTTTGCGAGGACTGAGGCAAACGTAGAGGACTGTGGCAAATGATACAAGTTTTACGTGTGTGGGGTCTGGTGGACCCCATTTCTACATACATAAATATCAATTTTCAGCAAATTTAAATCTTTGTGCTCATTTGAGGTGAAATTGTTGAATGAAAATTAAGAGTACTTTTTATTCTAAATGCATATAAAAAACAAATTAGATTTATAATCTGTGTTATGAGTCATGGGACCCCCCTGATAGTGTGGAGGCCCTAAGCAGCAGCTGAGTTTGCTTATGCCTTGGGCAAGCTCGGATTGCTGCTTGGAGTCTGCAGCTCCGGGGAGGATCTCCGTCAAAAAGGCAACTCTTGTTCTGCTCCCAGAACAGGTACCAGTGGAGAGTCAAGGATTCCCCAAACATCCATAAAAGAATCACAGCAACACTGTAGGTTTTGCTTTTTGGAAGAAGTGATGCCATTACAATGTAATTTAAAGCTCAAGAAATCTGATTTTACATAACACTGCCTCTTTAAAATTCGAGGTACTACATTGTGAACTGTACCGTTTACTTCCATGACATTTTAACATAAATATGGCAGCCCTAAAAATGGCTTTAGAAAAATAAACACAAAGTCAGCCTATAAAACAGGAAAAGGTTTATGGATTTATCTTGTCGCTCGTTATCTTTGCCTAACCAGGAACAGGCTTCTCACGGTTTCCTAAGTGGTTACTGGCTTCGGTTTATCGTCGCGATAGCATCTTCAGCAGCAACATTTCATCTTTAACGATGCTTAATTTGCACAGTATGTCTGAGAGCTTCATTTGGAGCGCCTCCCAGGCCTGGAGGATGGCGCGCAGAGATGGTCTGGAGATAGAGAGGGATGAAGTGCGACTGTCCAAGAACATAAGATGTGGTAAGGAAACATTTACGGTCCACTCATCTCCCCTCTCCATCCGTATCTCGGCTGCTCTCAGGCAGACAGCGGGGGATGAGACTGGATTTCGGCACGTCAAGCAGAATCGCGTTCTTCTTTCGCCCCTGCCGGTTGCTGTCACTTGGCTGTTTTATCAAAAAGACAAGCAAACACAGCGGAACGCGCCAATGAGCATTTGCACAAAGCTCAAAATCAAATACAACGTAGACACAGTGCAAACATTCATACAAGTGGGTAAACACGAAGACAGGCAGAACAATAAAACTCTGCTTTATGCACGCAGTGACACCAAGTCTAGCCCAGCCACTGTTTGATTATTCCAACGTTGTTTTAATTCTTCAGCATGTTGGTGACATCTCCCTGACAGGGTATCGCTGCATGGATTCCTCCCCCCCGCACCATAAAGGCACACGCTGGTTTAGTTACACAGAGGAGAGCGGGCTCATCCACTTCCCTGAATCATGGCAGCAGAAGAAGCTCATGTGTTTAAGATAAAGCTTCGACAAAGAGCGCTGTGTTTCCCTCTCAATCTCCGTCCTCCTGTTAAATATGCAGATGCAGCAGCACCAGGATCCTCGCAGGGTTGAAGCATGAATTAGGTCAGAGGCGACGTCATACGGATTTAAAATGTGGCAAATTTCAAAGGTCTGCCACATCCAGAGCAGACGAAAACTGTCGGTCACGGAGCGGTTCTCCAAACAATGAGGACGACTGCATGCGTGTTGTTTTTACACATGCCCATACAGTTTTAATTTTTTTTTTTTTTTTTTACCTATTCAACCGAGAAAATAATCAGTGTGGATAGTTTCTGGAATATTTGGTATATCAGATTAAATGTCAAAAATAATAATACAGTAGTGGAGTGATGATCAGGCCTTTCAGGGTCAGTACCATTTCCAGGTTTCTTTGATGTCTAAGCTGCAGATTTTAATTTTCTGAATGAAGGAATTACCTTCAATTATCCCCACTTATGTGTCGAAGCATATCATCACTCACCTTTACTGGAATTTAATTCAGTTCATAAAGCGTACATTACTGTACCAGGCTGCTGTGTTTATAGACTGAAAATGAAAAGGGTTCTTCGTTTCGAAGCACCAAAATGTACAAATATGTGTATTTTGAGGAGATTTAGGTTTTTTTATGTTTTTATATTATGATTTAATAATTTTATAGGGATCCCCGTAATTTGATAATCATTAAAATGGAAAAATACACCCTGATATAAGGGTATATAAAGGTTTTAAGCTTTAATCAACATTTCCTTTTCTTTTTTTTTTTCATTTGACTGATTTCTACACATCACCTCAGGCAGTATCCATTTAGTGTTTTTTTTAAAAAAAACCCAATCTCACAAGGCCATTTCAAATGTTGCCACTTAGCTAAAGGCTTTGATTAATGCCACTTTCAGTCATCTCTATTGATTGCTCTGTCTGTAATTAACATGAATCACCTTGTTAACAGGCCTGACCCTGAGCACTGACCTTCCATCGCAAATAAAGGAGAAAATGTGACAGAAAAGCAGCAGCATAAAGGAGCCGACGGAACCGGCTCGTATCATCAGCCTGATCGTGAAACACTGGGAGGAAGGTGTAAGGCGTTAAATAGGCTAAATTAAACCCACGGCGCTTTGAAGGAGGTGAGCCTAGAAGACACAGATCTTAACACGCGGCCACAGTTTAACGATTATAAAACCTCCAGTTTCCAGTTAAAACTTTTTACAGATCACTTAAAAATAATACATTTTAAGCTGCTGAAAGATACTGTCCCAGAAACTATGAAAAAAAAAAAGAGCAGCGAGATGCTCATATGTGAATGATTTTTGTGCCGGTTCTCCTTGCTTTGCTGGGAGCAGTAGACCCTTCCAGCTCATGAGGGCCATCCAAGAGGAAGAAATCTTTCTTAGAGATCTGGAATTAGCTCGGTGAGTCACAGGCCCAGCGCTGCAAAAGGTGGAACTCTGTTCTTCCTTTAGGGAAACGTTTCCAGCAGCAGAAACCTTGCCCTGTCTTGACATCACCCGCCTCCAGCTGTAGCTAAACCCGGTTCGGCTTTGCAGCTCTCTCCGCCGCCTGGCATCTGTGAGCTGTATGGATTACGGATCACGGCGTATTCCTGGGCCTGTTTTATTTTTTTGTTGTTGTTGATTTTCTTTTGAGCGATACCTTGCTTCTGGACTCTGTCTGGTTTTTTTCGGAGCTGAGCAGGGGGAAAACCAGATGGTCCAGTCAACGCAAAGCCAAAGCAAACAGGACCCTCGGAGCGGAACAAATCCAGGTCCTTGGATCCCCTCAGGGCCACCGCTGCACGTTGTTCTGTTTTCCCTCTTTTCAAATTTGTCATTCATTTTTCTTTTCTTTCTAAACTCTACAACAAACATTTCCTCTCCGGCTCTTGTCTTCATCTTTATCATCGATCGTCGTCATCATCATCATCGTGCTCCTTTTGTTTTCCTCCCCAGCACCACGACTTTCCATCATAGTCAAGCTAACTGTTTCCAGGTGGACAAGTACGCTGCTCAACCAACCTGCAAGATTATTTCATTTCATATCCAAAGTGAAAACAGCTGACTAGAACAGATCAGACATTCAGAACTGAAAAAATAAAAAGCTTCGATCTCGCCATCAACAAGCATTCTGCCTGCTCTAGTTGAAGCTGTGCTCCAGTCCAACAGCAAAACGAGTTGACCGTACAGTTTAAATCTGCCACCAAGATTGCGACGTTTGAACAGATTAACTGAAAAATTAACCTTCCTATGGTTTGTCTGTTTCATTATAAGATTTTGCAAACTGGGGTGATTGCTGCCCTTCCAGGCTCCTTTTCAGCTTGTACTTCTGTCTCCTTTTCTTCTTCCTTTTTTCAGTGGTGGATGCCAACAACAGTTTGGTGCTCGGCTGTGTATAACTATACACCATCTATTTATCTCATTTTACTTTTTATAGGTATATGTTTGAGTAAAATGAACAATGTTCTTTTTTTTTTGAACTACTGACATGTCTCCAAAATTCCAAGCAAAATTTTTTTTATTTATTTTTTTAATTAGAAATGGTAAAAAAATAAAAATAAAAAAAAAGATGCAGTGCTTTCGTTCCTCAAATTTTCCTTGCATTCCTCAGATGCAAGGAAAACAAGTTTATATTAATTCAGAAACAACAGAACTAATGTTTTAACTCAGGAAGAGTTCAGAGACACGACAGTGACCACAGTCTTGTGAAGTCACCTTTTCAGTCCAACTCGGTATGCTTGAAGCCCCAGTGAGGTATAGGTTTGTCAAAAAGGGGCCGGTACCACGTAAATGCTATGAGTGGAAAACCTGAATTACAGAGTACATCCAGGTCTACTGTAGCTGAGTAGATGGTAGTGGAAGAGAGCCCCATGGCTTAGGCCAACCAGAGGAATCTCATATTAGCTGCTTGTGTCCGGGTTCTTGTTCGTTTGGTCAGGATTCACGTCTCACAGCCTTCGATCAGCTTTGAATTTGGTTCAGGTCTTTCTGCACCACAACAGACTGCCCACACTGAAGTAAATGCAAGCTTCATTTTTCTATCCATCCCTTGCTTTATGCCACCAGGACTCCAGAACTAAACAAGAAGTTCTCCGCTTACAGATTTTGATTTCTAAGCCTTATACCCTGAGGAAGTCGCTCTAATTTTGCTAGTTTCTACAAAATATTGTGTATATTGCAATATCACTTCAGTATCCTGCATGTTTTCGTTCTCCCCCTGGTTCAACATCCTGGTCCTCCTCAGCATGTCAATGATCTAAAGGAGCCTGCTAACGAGCCATCATTTGATTCAGGTGTGTTGAATCAGGGAAAGAATTTAAAGCATGAAGACTACCGGTATAAACTCTGCATTTGGGTTGAAAAACCCCCCCAAAAAACAAAAACCATAAAAAAGAACAGGTTTTTGGGTGTATATGTGATTAATTATGCAATATGTGTTAAAGAAGAAAGGTAGATGTCAAAACACAAGTGTTTGATTAGCTAGGTGAAAGACGAGGCAAGACGTGAGTTCCTCTATCAATCTGAACATAATGACTCCATGTTGCTCGCTCACGCAGCCAGCTCGTAAACAAACTGGCTCCAAGACGACGAGCACCACTTGTCTTTCCTCTTTGAAACCCACTCTGCTTTGGGAGTAATTAATGCAGCTTATGGTCGAGTACAAAGGCAGAATATTGCTGCATTGTGCTGTTGTCTGTGTGAATGAGGAGGGAAGAGAGCCACCTGTGTTAGATTCCAAAAAAAAACAAAAAAAAAACATGCTGTTTGCATCTGAATGAAGCACAGGTACTGGTGTGTGTGTGTGTTTTATTTTTTGCATATTTTTCTTTATCTGTGTGTGATACTGAATATAAGAGGGAGAGAGAAGAGGGAAAAGAATGAGCACATCTCTGTCTAGGAGCATTAGCAGGGAGTCCGTTCTCTGTATCTCAATGAGGGGATTAGAGGACTATTCATTAGAAAGCCTTTGATAGGTGGCTGGCTGAGTCTGTCCTCTGCTCCTGCTAGCATCCTGGCAGGCAGGGAGACCAGGGGGAAGTGGAGGAACCCTCAATGCTAGGTTTTAACCATCCTCATCTCTCTTTTCCTTTTCGCCTCTGTGTCCTCATCCTCAGCATTGCCAGGTCACTCTAAACTGATGCTGTCCGAGTTAACTCAGCTAATCCACAACATTTTTGAGGAGACGGTTGACGGACAGACAGACAACTTTGCTTCTATGTTTTGATGGAAAAAAGAGATGAATTTGCAGCAACAAGTTGTGTCGGCATTCACACCCCAATGAACAAACTCGCGATACTGACTGCTACCGTTCTAGGCTTTTGCAGAGGCAACATCTACATTATGTGGAGTTTTCCAGTTTACCACCAACCATTAGCTGGTATTGCAGTTGGTTGCCATGGAGACCGTGGGCATAAGCTAGTGGTGAGATACTGCTGACCAAGTGGTCAAACTGGTTTCCTACCAAGAAAACCAAACACCCCTTTCTTCACAACTACACTATAATCCCCCCTTTCAAAATATATGAAAAACGTCACATTATTTGATAATTTTGTGCACTGTTGCAAACCCTAAAAGTCGTAGCAAAGGAAAATAAAGAAATGTCACCATAACACTTAAAAGCCTTCCTTGCTGTGCTTGTTGCTCATTCCTCCACTTGGAATCTTTCTCTTGTTTTGATTCTGTTTCTCCTTGTTCAGCCGAAAGCATTTCAAAAGACCAACTCCTGTGAAACACCCCCACCTGTCAGTGTTTGATGCTTCCACTGACAAGTCATAGGCTTCACATCCAGCACAGAGCATCACTGACGCAAATGGAAAGATAATAGTTGCCTGCGTAAGCTCGTTCTCGCCCCTAACAGTGACATATGGTTTAGATTGCCCTCCAGACGTTTGCTGAAAGTACACACGCCGCTGTAAAAATGATGAGAAAATAAAACCCCAGGCATGGGAAGGCAAAGACATTGTCCGACTTCTCCGCTCCTCCTCGTGTCCTTCCCCATCACCTACTTCTCCCACTTTGGCTCTAACCTCAGGAACTCGGGCCCGGGCCACGGGACGGAGAGGAAGACAGGCAGCAAGGATGAAGGAGAAGGTGCTGTCAGCTGAAGGAGAGGAAAACTAGGGATTGATTAGAGGCACGAGCTGGGGAATTGCTTTGATCCGTGCCTTTTAATAAATCTGTCAGAGTGAAAAAGCAGGACTGCATGAGACAGGAAGAGAACAATCAGCTCACTGAGGTCTTAACTAGGTGATGTTCACTTCTTCTTCATCTCTTCCTCATCTTCCAGCACAGTACTCTGTGGATTCTCTCTGTGTTCGTCTACTGCAGCATCTAAAAGTTCAGACGACGTGTTTTTGCACTGTTACAAGGTAAAGTGGTTTAAACATACGTCGAATTTAACTTTAGTCTCTTCAACTGAGAGATTGAGAAACGTGGATTTTACACTGCAATAGATCCTCGTGGAAATCTACCACGGTGTAGAACGTATCATGAAATAAACATTATAAAAGAAATTAAATTGTCAGAGGCGCAATATTTATGAAGGGAAGATTACTTATTCCTTCATATACTTACCTCTGTGCCGAGCAGCTCCTTCTCAGGAATTTCTCTTATTGGATGATTAACCAAAAATATCCAATTGATTTTTTTTTGGGGGGGATGGGTGTTCCTCTCTTTTTTTTTTTGGCCAATATCACTTCTGGAAATTCCTTTCCATCTCTGAAGTAACCTGACAACTCTAAAGGTCTTTCCAAGCAGACAGCTTTTATGTCTGCAGTACTAAACCTCCAGAAAGACTCTGTGTAAACTCAGTACGACAAGATTTAGTCCCTTCCAAAATCATGTTGTACCTACGGCGAAAGACTGACGTGTGGAATATTTTTTAGATTGTTTTTCAGTCCAGTATTTCCACAATGTTTGATTCACGGTCCAGCACCTGCCTGTTGAACTCAATGTGAAGAATCGTGAGGAAAATAATTATTTAGTTAATCTGTTTTCTCCGTCCTCTTCTACACCCTTAAGATCAGTTCCTTCAGGTTCTTGTCACGTTGTAAACCAGCTAAAGCATCGACACGTTTTCAAGCTTTAAAATCCACATTGGAATATAAAAGAACGACAAACCCAACCATGTAAAGCAGGAGTCTCGGCCACATCCCTGCAACTGGAAGAAACCACATTTATGGATCGTGTTTGCTATTGTTTCATATCAATGCTAGTTTATGGTGACACCATGACTCCCAGTTGGAGGGTAAATGCTGGGTAAGATATATGTGTGGTCCCATGCGAGCGTGTGTGTGTGTGTTTTGTTATGGGACTTCTCGTTGGCAGGCCATATAACTCAGGTTAATGTTATCTTATTTCACACAGCTCAGAGACAACCTCAGGGAGGAGATCATTTGGAGCGCTCTTATTACTTTTCATTAGGCTAATGTGATGGATGGAGGAATATTTACAACAGGGAAGAGGCGTGTAGTCACACACACTCTCGCACACACACGTACACTTTACTGAGGACCTCGTATAGGTTTGAGTGGGAATTTGTAGTCCATTTTAGAGTTAACCTCACTGATAAGACAGAACATCCGAACTGTCCACCCACAGCGGGGACTACATAAATAACCCACCTGACATATCGATCAGGATGTTTGCACATTTCACCAGAGAAACAGGAGGAGGATTTATAGCAGCACTGCCTACGAGACTATTGGTATGAACCTTGACTCAGTGGTTGAGCTACTATAAATGGTGTGTTGTACTGTAGGGACATTTTATATAACGAAACAGCTTTAAACTCCTCTAAATATTGCATTTTGACGCTTTTGGACAGACTTATAAAATGGGGTTCTTCCTATATACATGTAAACCTGTTGCAGGACTTTTTAAAAAATATAATCTTATGAAAAACTCTTTCAACAAAACTTAATTGTGAGGAGAAAGCAAAAACGTTTCTGAAAGTCCAGGTCAGCCTTATTTTGAGCTTCTGCCGTCATTACGGGTGGTCTTCCTTCCCACATGGATCGGATTCTTTCCCATTCACTTGTCTGTTGATGGAAAGACGATATTTCGCTGGCACTCTGGCCGTCACCTAACCCATTCTCGCTATCTGTTTTATTTTACTTTCCCTTTCTGCTTTGAGTTTCTGAATTCCCGCTCCTCTCCATCTGCCATCCAGGCTGTGAGGAGGCCGCTGACGTTCTCGTCCTTTCTTCCCCTCCTTACAGTAAACACCTGCACTCGCTTCGAATGGAAAAAGCAGGATGAATAGTTCCGCTGAAAGAATGCTGACAGCTCCAAAGCGATCCATTTCACACGCACAAATGCTGAGAAGGTGCAGGGGGTCAGGCATCTGTTAGCATACGTGTATCTGTGTGTTTGTGTGCGCAGGAAGCAGGGATGGAGAGCAGCCTCCATCATTACCAGCCATTAAGATATTCATGGTAACATTTCAAGTTTTTGTCATCAATCATGTTCAGAAATAAAAGTGCATTGTTAATGTCATGGTTTTCCCATTTAGCCAGTGACTTTTAAAAGGTTTAATAAGGGATAACTTGTGCTACATCATCAGGCAAAATGTTGGTGATTCATTATTGCCTTTTAATAAACATCATTTCTACAACCCAACAGGGCTGTGTCTTTGTTTTATGCGTTTCAGCTCATTAAGCACAACTCATTTGTGTTTTTGGGTTCCAAGGCAAACAGTGAGATTTAAATGTCATTTCCCTCCTGCAGGCAGCACGAACACTCGGTCTTAGAAGAAAACCAACATGGGAAAACTCAAACCTCCTGCACATATCTGTAAAATATGTTACTGTTACCTCCCCCCACCCCCCCCACCCCACACGTATCTCACCTTTGCACGGAGCTGGAGTCACGCGAGAAGGCAGAAAGTGGGGTGGACCTTGAATGGCAGCAGTTTGACTTAAAAGTGAGGCAAGAAAAGGAAAAAACAGACATTTGTTAAACAGGCCTCTCTGTGATCACATGTGGTAATCACAAAATTATGGTTTAATAAATTACCCCTCGTTTCCCACGATTGCTAGGGGTGTTTTTACAATGAAGGCCAAATAAAATAAAACTGAAGTATTTCATGCTAAAGAAAGAATTCAACAGTTGTTTCAACTGGACAGCTTCTGTTTTGTTTTGTTTTTTTATACATGGTTTCTTTGCTAGGTTGGAATAGTTAAACCAGCTGGTATCCACACCTATATGGTCTAGCAGTGCAGATTTAATTCGGGTGTCGGGACTGGCTAGTGTCTATGCTGTTCCATATAGATGAGCCAGTTTTATGGGAAACAACTTGCTATTGGTAAAGTGACAGGATTCGGTTGCTGCTTCTCTTGCGGTTTTTAGAAAAAAAAAAAAGAAAAAAAAAAGAAACCTTTGAATCTACAAAACTTCTTCCCGGGTCTCAGACTCTGCAGGATCAGCCTGTTACTGCTGAACTCAGCCTGAAGACTTAAAAAAACCTTTAATTGGCTTTGTAAGTTTTGAGCTTGTCGAGAAAGAGAGTGAATGGAGTCTCCCTGAATAACAACAACAGTGTTCTGCAGGCAATGCAAGCAAGAAATTATCAGATGACTATGACATGCCTGGAGCAATACCGATGAGCGTGTTAATGTGTTAAAGTCCATTTTCATTTTAACTTCACGTGGAAAACCTTAAACATCAAATGATTAGAGCTACACAGGTGTTCTCTCTCAGCAGGTTGAGAGCTCTTCCTAATTCAGCAGACATGTGCCGACGGGATTTGACTGACATCTCTATGGTTCTGCTGTTTCTTTAGTCACACCTGTTGGGACAGGACAGGTAATACCTTGATCACTCTTGATGCATGAAGCGCAATAATCTCTCATCATGGACATATTTCACTAAAGGGGTTTTGGAGTCACTCAAAAACAAGAATGCCAGGATTTAGGTCTGCCTGGTGCAGGAGGGTCTGGCTTAATGTACATAGGCTTTCTATTGTTCTTATAATCCCTTATCTTAAAATTATATTACAATATTTTTGATAAAATGCTTCAATACTGAGAAAAAACAAAGTGTAACAAATCATTTTAATATTTAATAGTTATTTAAAATTGCATGTCGACCATAGCCTGTCCATTGCTGCCTTCTAATAAAATTGGTTTAAAATTTTAAAATCAGATTTATGTTGTCATATCAACCATATTCCAAGACTTAAAAACTTACAGATAGTTATTGTGAATGGTGTGATTACTTATGTGGTTTGAATACACTATGTTGGACTGCGGTTGCCACAAAATGCATTATGTATCAACTTGTAATGGTAGAGGTAATTTTATTTATATAGCTCATTTTCAGCAACAAGGCAATACAAAGTGCTTTATATTTGTATTGTGTACTGTTCTGTAATATTGTAAATTAATATTCAGTAAATTAGACAAGTTTAAATAAAGTTCATTTGTCAGATTAGAAGTACCTTTTTGAAAATTGACAACCTCTGAACAGATGTTTAACATGCTGTTCATTACGACTACATTTCTGCATTGAAAATGTATTTTTATCATCTGATCTGATGTTATCCTTTCAGCAACTGGAAAAGGAAATCGTCAACAGAAACAAAGGTTTCCAAACATCCATCTGGGTGTAATTAACCTGTGTTTCACTCAGTGTTAAAGTTCCTGAAATAAATAGACTTTTCAATAATATTCCAACTTACTGAAGGAGTCTGTTGTTGCTCTTTCTGCAGACATAGAAGACGACGTCTAGAGTGCCATCTTGTATTCTATCATTCTTTCTCTCCTTTCCTCTTACCATCTCCCAACGTTTCTCTCCGTTTTTCTGTCTCCATGCTCATTACAAAATAAACCAAACACTATTTCACGTAGAGTTATATATCTGTTTCTCTATCGAGTGGAGCATCACATAGCAAAAGCCGTCATGCTCCACTTTTGAAAGTAAAACTGTTGAGCTTCTCCTTGCACTCAGACAACAATTCTGAGTGAGACGCTGCCAGACAGGACCTGCTTAAAAAAAACAAACAAAAAAAATAAAAAATAAGTGGCGCTGACCAAAGAAGCTTTTACATGAACCAAGAGAGAAATTCAGGCTATCTGTGCTGAGTCACCTCGGTTCATGCCGGGATATATGGACACTGGCTTCTTCTTTTTGGCAGTGAGCTCTCAGAACAGTCACAGATATGATATACAGCAGCTCTTAATACACTCACTGGCTCTCAAATATGTAATGGAGCAAATTAATGCAGTGGTTTCAGACAGAGACACCCAGAATTGAAAACCAATTTAATCAACCTTTGTCTAGCGCTGTCATTTTTCTCCCTTCCATCAGCTGCCTGCTTTCTGCTCACCCTTGGCTCTCGAAAAAGGAAAAACGATGATGAGAGTGGGAGTCTGTAAGTGTGGACAGGACTTGTGCAGCCGGGAAGAGCGCGCAATCCTTTGCTTTTGCTGCCTGGAATTCATCGCAGCTTCATTTGTTAGATTCCTGTTGCATTATGGTAATGCGATGCAGCTCTCATCTTTGGCACAAAGTCCCAGCAAAATCAGGCCCAATGTTCCACAGGGAGTTTTCAACTTGTCATGTATCATTATCGATTGGAAAGTGTTGAGTTCAAGGCTGAATCCCGATTGGATTTTATGTTTTCATCCACCCCTCCAAAAAAACCTGATTTAGCTCTTAATATCCATCCCTTGGAACGGATTAATGTCGGTGAAGGATGAGGAGAAATCCTCCATGAAGCAAAAGGTTTCTTGTAATCAGGATCTTGTGAGGGAGAAAGACTCGAGTGCTCAATCAGAGGATTAAAAGGAGCCGTTCTTTCCTCCTAGTGACCCAGTGAAGATCAGCTGAACATTTGATAGAGGCAGAAATGACACACTGCTCCTCATTCTTCATTCCTCTCTCATTCAGCAAGTATTCATCAGAGTCTCTTTCAGCTCGGTCACATACATCACGCACTCATCTCCCAGCTGCACTGCGCTTCATTCTGCTCCCTCTTTTTTAACTTTGATGCTCATAGGAAATGCATCACATTGATACCAGATACTGCTCTAATAGTTTCAGTAGACCTGCTTAATCTGGCTGGGCTAGTGTGCAATATGTTAATAGTATGCTGTAGAGTGACCCCTGTGGTGCCTTCGTGTTACTGGTCTTTTGCCGGGAGCGTGTTGCTGCCTTTCCTCCATCTGCTGCCCCGGCTCCTCATCCTGTATCCCAGTTACCTCCACGCTGATTCTAGCCGTCGCCACCTGATGGCTGCCTTCTTCTGCGTGACAGGACTAGTTACCTGAAGGACATCCTTACGTCAGCAGTGTGTGATCCAAAACTGTTGTTCATTTTGACACAAAAACACAGAAAGACGAGTTTCACATTATCAGTTACAACAGTTTAAAAGTGCTGGGTAATATCAGTTCATCACGCTGCAGAGCATGACATTTAATCCACCTCTCGAACACAAATTGCACACGTTGAAATGATGCCACACACTTTCTCAGTCATGTACTGCAGACTTTCTGTATCCTCCATGAAAAAAAAAAAAATTCAGGATCCAAAAACCCGGGTGTAGAGCCTGCATGTATTACCAGGGTGTGGAGTTCTGAATTTCCTTTACTTAAATATGCTTCTAAATATTTTATGTTAATTGTTAATTTTTAAATTGACATAAAAAATAGCAAGGGAAGCAGGTGTTCCTGCTTGACTTTGATAACCTGAACATGTAGATGTGATGTGGAGTTTGGTGTGTTTTGGTTCAGCTATAAAATAAAAAAGGCGACCCACAAAATGAGTAGCGCAGGTATTTAAATTAGCTAATCAAACACCGCTGTGTTAGGTTAGCTAATGGCAGCGGTAGCTAATCTAAGACACCGATCACTTAATAATCGCAAAAACAAACATAAAGGCTTAAAGCATAATTTTGTAATGGACTGAATGTTCTCTTCTTTGAGTGGGAAATATTCGGGTGCGTTTTGATGTTCAATCCTGAAACATATGGAGTTAGATTTGTTTCACAATTATTGAATCAAAAAAAAAATAAAAATGTCAAAAAAATCTTAAAAACATTTTAATCATAAAATAAATTTTTTATGAACAAAAAAATGTTTAAAGAGATTTTTTTTTTTTTAATTGAAATCACTAATTTTTGTTTGAAACTTATTTTTTTGGTTGAGTCTAAGTTTTTTTTGAAACTCCTGTTTTTTTGTTGAACTCCTTTTCTTGCTTATACAACTTTATTTGCTTCGGGGAAGCTTACATGAACATTGTGGGCGGGGCTTAAGGACGAGCAATGTAAGACGTGTAACGATTGGTTAGCGCTGACTAAAGCGAATGACTCCCTGAGATCTCAGAACTCTGTCCCGAACTGCAGGGCTTCGGTGACGGGACACAGAATGTGATGGTAAGTAATCTTCACAAAATTACACCGTTTAGCAGCTACTAAAGTGTCCACCCTGTTTCAAAGAAGAAATCTTACACAACTTATGACGACAGTCACATATTTTGTCTGCCGCGGTCCCCGGTAGCATATTGTGCTAGCTAATGTTAGCACTAGGTAAAGTTCATAAACTAGGCTTGTGTAATATTCGCCTGTCTTTATGTTGAATTCGTTAACCAGCGCACATCTGTCGAGTGGCATTAAGCGTGGAAAATACCAAATATATCTGGAGGAAATATGTGTTAACTGTTGTGTAATCCTCCGTGTGTGTGTGTGTGTGTGTGTGTGTGTGTGTATTAACTAGCATTGAAGCTAAAATGGGAAAACAGCGGATCGTTGCACCAATGTTATCAGGTCCACATTAATCTGCACCACACGTCAAGTGACTGTGCAGATGATTTATTTACCAAGCACATAATCAGTGCTGTCGATGAGGGGAGGCAACGTAACTCTTAAATATATACATTTTCTTCCAGATGTAAAATGTAAAACTAAGCTGGTAGGTCACAGGCCGAAGGAGGATATTCACATAATTTCTGTTTTTTATTATTTGGTGGGTGTGTGTCTTGTACTTAGTTTTATTCCGAATTAGATGTAATATGCCTTTTGCTGTGTTATGATATTAAATTAAATTAGTGTTCTGATGTGTACATCAACAGAGGAAAACTAAAAGATGAATTATCAGCGCGAGAGAAAGAGAGGAAGGCAGACAGTAAACAAAAGACAGGAAGAATGAAAGAGTTAGATAAAGAGAAGGAAGAGAAAGGATAAAAGGGATTTCCCAAAAGGAAATGTAGAGGTTCTGGGGATGGATAGTATAGGCTGAAGCTCGTCATCTTGCTTTAAACTAAAACTGGCTCCGTTGGGTAACAGTGAATTATTAGAGGCTTAGTCTGACATTTTAAGGCATTAAAAGGAATGAAATCGTGCTATCCCTTATATCCTACTCACATTTACGATGGCATTTCCAACTGTTCACAGTTGTGAACATATAATAGAGCTGCAGAAACAGCTTAAATAACCAGGTCATACTCATGTTAATAAAATTACTTTTTAAAATTATTCCTGACATTAAAATTTTAATTATGTGCATTGGTTAGACCCTTTTTGTTAAAATAAAAATAAAAAAATAAATAAATAAAAACTATGGGAGAAAAAGGGCAAAGCAAACAACAGGCTTCCTCATTTTTCATCATCTGTCATTTTCTCATTGTTTTGTTCATTCATTTGCAAGTTTTGGATTTGTTCATGCTCCTTGAATTTTCAGGAAAACCTTCTTCACTTTATTTTCACAGTGATGTTTCAAATGAGTTTACTTCCTGTTTCAGTTTTAGTCAAATCTCCTGCAGCTTCAGGTGTTTATTTGCTCTCAGTGAATGTAAGACCACAGTTTTCAATAGTCACATTTATTTGTTGCATATCCGTATCATCACTCAGGGCTCTAAGTTTTATTTATTCCAGATGCGTGATTGAAATTAAACTCATCGCAAACCCTTCAACTTGGATATTTGCTCCAGGCCTGTGTTTGCTTCCAACTTCACACTATTTTATGGTATTTATACACATGTGCATGGTTTATAGGGTTTGTTTGGACTTCACAAAGTGAGATTCTGTGAACTTATTATAGGTAACAGCTCACTAACCTGCAGTAGAAAGAAGTCATATAATTGTAAGCTTGTTAAAGGGTAAGTACATCATCTGAGGGTTGGGCTGGTTACCACCTATACTGTGTCAATGCACATACCGTTTTGAGGCTTTTTCTCCATTGTTTACTCCATCCTGATGACATTTACCCTGGCCAAACACATTTAGGATGCCGGATAGGCTATAAAGACTAACATCACTATTGTAAATCTTCATTGCTCTTGAGGCAGAATCCAGAAAACACACAGCTTCACACCATTTATGCAGAGAATATCGTCTTTTTTAAGAAAGAGAATAATAATAATTAAAAAAAAAAAACTCACTAAACCTGGTGTACTCTTTGAAAATATTAGGGTTTATGTTGCCAGAATGGCTTCACAGCTTCTGAAAACCAAACCAGGCAGTGTAACTCGAAATATGGAACAAGGTTTCAACATTTTGTCTGGAGGAGTTTGACATTTCTCTCCATCTCTCTGGTGTAGGTGTCATATTTAGTTTCTGGTCTCCGTGGAGAGGAAAATGGCAGCAGGGGAGGGAGACATGAATAAATCTCTGAGGACCAGGCTGTCTGCTTAAGACTGGAGAGTGGCTGAAGCAGATAGTGTTACACTGCACCCATGGGAGACAATGAGATATGACCAAAGGGATAAAGGGACTGTGTGTCCGACTGTGGTGGAGGTAAAAAGGGAGGTTGTGCTGGAAAGAAACAAAGATATATGGAGGAAGGTTTAGGAAACGGGGAAATAAAAAAATGAAAAGTTGACAGCAACCGCTTTAAAAACTCTAGAATGGAAATATTTCAGCGTGCAGCACAGCTTTTACGTTGGCTTTTGTAACGTGATTTACCTGCGTGTTGTGGATAGCACGTTGACCGACTCCTACACTCCTGTAAAAGTTTAGTGGCAAACAGTTCCCATGCTCCTTCTCTCCCTTTTTGCCTCTCTCTTCAGCAGAGAGAGTGGCGGCATTGGTCTGAAGTGGCTTGTCAACGGTGCTAATGAATGGCGCCACTCTTACCAGCCAGAGATGAGAGGGATGAGAAGGAAGGAAAGGTGAAAGAGAAGAGTGGACGCTGAAGAAGACGAAGCGAGTACGATGAGTGGAACAGATCCTTGAAAGTGTGTGCAAGTGGAGCGTTATAGGAGGGTTTGGATATATTTAAAAAATTACAAGTGTTGCCAGATTGATTAAAAATATGGGAAGAACGAGGGTGGAGATGAGTGGAAAGCATAGAGAGCTGGGGAACGGAGAGAATGAGGGGTGAAGGGCGCTGGGGGGCTTTCTTATTATGCTTCCAGTTTTTGATTCTCGAAATAGAAAATGATCTCTATGAAAGAGTCATCTAGTTTAAAGAAGGAATAAAGTTCTAAAATACAACTGAGCAAAGAGGGGCTTTGGAAAACACAGATTATCATAAGACATTTAATCTATGCAAAGTGCAGAATTTATAACCATTTAACAGAAAAAGGAATAAGATCTTTTTGATGTCTCTTGCGGTACAATTTCTCTATTAAAACAACAGCATGGATGGTAAGAGTAGAAATCAGTTCAGTAATCTCTCCAGGAAGTATTTTAGTTTTTGTGGCTGGTTGAGAGACACAGAAAAGAGTAAAACTCTCAGATTGGCAATATGCTGGCAAATCCCTGGTTAATGCCATATGTACATTTAGGTTTAAAAATAGTCTTAACTTGATTTTTTTTTTCTTTTTATGAATGAACAAACTTTTATTAAGGTTTTGGAGTGACCCAGCCAGGTCCTGGCTTGAATCTGTAAAGCAGCTGAAGATTAGGATGTTGGCAAGGACTCTTTCCAAAATCCAAAGCAAAAAACTCACAATGGTCACTGAAGTAACTTGAAACTGAAAAAAAAAGTAATAGCAGATAAAAATTTACTGGAATGTGATTCAACAGAATCATTAGATATAGAATACTAAAACAGGCCTAGACAAAAATCATAGTACTTCTAGAAAGCTTTGAAGAAAAACAGTTTGCCACAATACATAGTGACAAGCCACAAATGTTCTGGAAGAATGTCCTTCAGATAGATGAGACAGAACTGGAGGTTTTTGGCAAAGGCACGTCAGCTCTATGTTCAAACGTAAAATGAAGTATGCCAAGAAAAGAACACTGCCCCTACTGTGAATAATGGAGGCGACTCGGTTATGTTACGGGACTGCTTCGTTGCATCTGGCACGGGGTGTCCTGAATCTCTTCAGGGTGCGATGAAATCTCCAGACTGTCGAGGCATTCTGGACAAAATTTGCTGCCTCCTGTTTAAGAAAACGCTGAACTTTAACTCCTGTACTGCTGACGTTTCATTGGTGACTTTATTTTACAGATAAATGAAAGGAATGGCTCTGTCACCATTTTAAAAACTGAGTGAAACCTCAAGAGGACACACATTCACAACCCATATCTTCTGCAGTTTGTCAGGCTCTAAGGACCACGGTTGAGAGTATCACGCATGCAGAGCAAACTGTGATACCACATTTGTCTAGAGGATGAGGGAGAGAAGAATGGATGGAAGGAGGAAATGAAAAAGGCCATAGTGCATTAGTTTTAAATGCTCCCAGAACATTGTGAGCCTTTGAAATGGACAGTATCATCCATTCGCTGTAATAAGGGTTATGGTTTTCTCTTCGGGGGGTGGAGAGAGCAACAGCCTGCTGGGGCGACAATTCGAGCCAGCTATCAGGTTCCTCCTGTTTGACTTTCTGTCATATTCATTACCTCTCCGTCTATCTGCATAAGCTTTGACTTCTGTCCTATCAAATCACTTTATATTAATTGGGGTCAGTGAAGAATTGAATAGTGCTCATATGGACTAATTTAGATGTCTATTCTACCTGACAGGCAGGGGGAGTGGATTTTTGCGCTATTAATCCTTGTTGGGCTTTCTGTCCTGCTAATACAGAATGACCCATCAGGATTAGACACTCTTATTTTCTGTGTTTACAACGCTACTTTGCAACGAGGCTTCCTTTTTTACAGTCTATTACAAAGAAAATGACTGGCTTCTGACAGGCTACGGATGTTTTTCATACAAATAGCACTTCCGCCTCTTCTGCTGCTTCTGGTTTCCCTCCTTTTCTCTACCTCATTACCCTTTAATACACCCCCACTCCCACCCTACTCCCCTTTTCTTTGAGCTAGCACACACTCTGCCAAGCCACCATGATGTATAAGGTTTGTTTGGTTGTGCATTGGAGGCCATATGTTCTCTTCGCGGCTAAAGTTTCTCTTATCCTGCCTTTGCAGCAAAGTGAGAGGGGAGTCTGGGCCCATTGTCGGCCGACTCCCTGGAAGGTTATGGAGCGGCAGTGAACGGGGGGGAGAGGGATGAACTGGAGGCAGAAGAGGAGACAGATAAATTCTAACAGGGGGCTCTTTCTATTGTCAGCATAATTACAAAACCAAGAAAATAAATTATAGTCTACATTTGTGTGTGCATCTGTTTTTTTTGTTTTTTTTTGTTTTTTTTTCTGCCCAGTTTCCCAAATGGCATATTCTCTGCCCTGGCATGTATTTTAATGCAGTCAAAGTCTGGCTTCCTTTCCAGTAAAGTCATGAAGGTTTTCACCATGTTAAAGACAACTCAGAGGAGGGGACTCCATTTTATCTAGGCTCGTCTCATTCAAAACATAAAACAGCTTTATGAGGCGCGCTATGAAACGGCTCTTCAGGAGTATATGTCATGAATAAGTGATCCTAGAACTAAGAGGTTGTGTTTTAAGGTCTAGTTTCTCATATTTAATAAGCTATAAGTTGAATCTGTGGTTAGGGTTCTATTTTAACACTGCTGTCAGTTCAATTCAGTTTCT